GGCAGGGGGGTTGGACTAGATGATCCCCAGAAGTCCCTTCCAACCCCTACCATTCTGTGATTCATTATTTCAGTGTAAGCTAGAAAAGTTATTACTAATCATGAGTTTTCTGTCAGTGCCTGTACAGGACTATATAACTTATTCACAGTTAGCTGTGCCCCAACTGATGTGTAATCACTTGTCTTTCAAAACTTTTGTCAAATTATTCTTGTCTCTGAGGTGATAACAATGGCAACTCCTTGATGGCAGTAACAGGAGCAGAAAATCTCTTTCAGGTATAGTGAGTTCAGGAAATTATTTTGTTCAAAAATGTAGGTGGTTCACAGCTGAGAGCTGTTAGTAGCATTTTGCAGCTGCTTCCTGAAAGACTGGGAGGGTGGGTAAGAAATAGAAGATGTGCAAGAATGCAGGGCATAGCACAGATCTCAGATGTTGTCAAGTTCCAGGCAAAGTTTTCTCACAGTCTGAATGTAGACCAGTGTGCCATTCGAATAGTCTTGGTCTGGCTAATTGTTACAAAGTTTCATTTTATAGGGAAAAAATAACAAGACAATTCTCAGTGGTGGAGGGAGTAATTGAATCTCAATGTATCTAAATATCCTTGGCAGTTTGTATTGTGTTTTGGTTATTCAGCCGTGTGTGTTCTAATACTAGATAAGCAACGTACTATTCTGTGATTCTGTGATTCTGTGCTTTGACCTCCAGTGAAACAGTACCTTAAGTGTGTCAGTGCAATATAATGCTGGATATGAAAAGGGGCCTTTTCTGAAAGGGGATCTGATTCTTTTCTCCTCCTTGCTCAGAGATGGGTTATAAAGATAAGTTTATCCTTTTCTCTTGGGAAATTAGTCTCACTTGCACTTTTATCTGTATTTGTCAATTTTCTGCCCTGATACAGAAGTATATCCAAGAAGCCAGGAGTCTGGGCAGCACTATTCGGCAGCCCAAACTGTCTAACCTCTCTCCATCGGTAATTGCACAAACAAACTGGAAGATGCCGAAATAAGGTAATACAGAGAATATTTCTGTTCTCTTACACCTCATGTCCAACCTTTGTGGACCATTTCTTGGCCAGTATGTTTGAACATCCCCCCCCCTCCTTCTACCATCTGTTTCTGCTTTATCCAGTATAAAGATTTTTGCATGATAGTGAGAAATTTATGAAGAGATAACGTATTTAGAAATTCTGCAAGGAGTGGAAACTTTATCAAACAGGTTTATGATAGAGAACATAAAGTGATAGAAAGAGATTGCATATTCTGATGGGTCTTTATCATCCTGCTGCCCATGTCTATTATAGCTTCTTTCATTTATCACTAGTGAGACTATACTATTTCAACAAGAGTGAATGTTCCAAAAGAGGAGGTTGTGGTGAAAATGCAGGAGCTTTTCTCATAACTAAAGAAAGTGAGTTAACAAACTTCCGAAACATAAGTTTTCAAGAACGTAATGAAGAGATTTGGCATTAGTTTGTAGACATGCTTCACCGGTATATATTTGAGAGTATATTAATATGAATTAAATGCTAATGTTTATACTGTCATGGTAAAGAGAATAATTATCAGACAGACACATTCTTGCCTTAACTCATTGGAGGTAATATAGCAATAATATACAACTTTTCATTAAAATGTGTTTAATGCATGCATCTAATTCTGATTTCACTTTAGTTTTCTGTGTGTATGAAACTGTCCAAATAATCCCATTCACTTAATAGAGGCACATGACAGTGAAAATCCTTGAAGATAGAATTGATGCTTTCACTGTGGGAATGCAACTCTAGGAAATATAGTGAGCCTGCTGTTAGCAGAGAGAGAAATTACTGGGGAAGGTGAGGAGGCAAAGAAGCTAGAGACTAACTTCATCTCAGCTAAGGCCTTCATCTCAACTAAGACTGTGCATAGGTGCCTAAGGGAGTATTATTCATTTAAGAGCTACTGTAGAATAGCAACAAAGATGAAAAAATGTCTAAGAGATGAGAAGAAGTGATTCCCTAGTAATTTTTCCCTCCAGGTAGCTATATGATGAATATATTGTGACTGGGAGACTGTATTTTAAGAGTTGGTGAGAGCTTTGTTGGCCAGTATGAAATTGTGCACAATTTAAGAAAATGTGGCTCATCGGAAAGCTCAGGAGATGCACTCCAAAATGGGTTTGGTTTAAACGCAAATACCCTTCTGGCAGAACAGGGTCTCACAGGAATGACGTATACCTCTGCTACTTGGAAGCATTTGTGCACATTCACCTCCCCTGGGAGGAGGTGAACATAGAGTGCTGCTCCAGTCCAGCACTCAGCAGGCTTCAAAAACACCCAAAACCTGTGTTACAGGGCCTTGCTGCTAGCCCCCTAGCTTGTCAATGTGTGGCCTGCTGTTCCCTCTTTTGGGGTTACTCTGTGGAGGCTTATGTGCACATTGAAGTGATCAACACTGCTGCTGCTGTGGCTTAAAAAACAGGGATAAAAGAAATGCAGTCCTGCACTAGCCTCAGAAATACTGCGTACATCCAGTTATTCCGCTAAATCTTTGCTATTGTGTGCTTCCTTGTTGGTTTTTTAAAAGGTGTAAGTGATCTTGAGTCCCTGTGGAAAGAATTAATTCTCTTTTGCCTTGTCCTTTTTGAGACCAAGAGGATGTTGGTTGAAAAAATGGGTCGGGAAGCTGTGGAGCTAGGTCATGGTGAAGTGAATATCACAGGTGTGGAAGAGAATACCCTGATAGCCAGTCTGTGTGACCTCTTAGAAAGGATATGGAGCCATGGTCTGCAAGTCAAACAGGTGAGGAATAAGTATTCCTGTATGTTGCAGAGCACACTTTCCTAAAGTAATTTTATGGTCTTCCTCTCTTTGCTTTCAGAGGATACCTGTTGTGTGTATATAGACGTGTTAAATACTTGTCCCCCCAGGCTTATATATGTCAGTTACTACCCTCTTGTCAGTCTCCACTTTTTGCTCTGGGTCTGTGCAAAGGCACAAGTAGACATATTCCACAGAAGACTTCTTGGAAGACTTTATTTCTGTTTAACCTGGGTTGTTTTTTTGTTTTTGTTTGTGGTTTGTTTTTTTTTTTTTAATAGTATGGTAAATAAAACTATTTCTGTGTTCTTAAGCCTTATGTTATTGGAGTAGCATAGGCTATGACCCAGTGTGTGCTACAGGTGCTGACAATGGGATATGGTAATTGGAATTGTTTTCATGAAAGATAATTTAGTTTTTAAGAGTAAAACCCTTGCTATTCTGATTCTTCCTGAATGGTGTAGAGGTAGTTAAGTGATGTTTACAAGCTCACTAGTTAGAGGTATTTATTTTCATATGAAATTAATATTTGTTTGCTGTGCTCTTCCATGTGGAGTTGCTTGTGGGACTAGATGGAGTTTGGAAGGCCTTTATACCTTCCTCCTACTTTGTACAAAGGCATAGCAAGGACAGTGAGGATTATAACTTTTTAAAAAAGAATGTGCAGACTAAATACATGTAATCCAGACTACTGTGATTCATTATCTCTGTTCCCAGCACCCAAGCGCCAGTGTTTAAATCTGCTCTCCTTCAAACTATATAGCAGTTTTCTATGCGAAGATTTATCATGTGATTCTCTCCCTTCCCTCTTGTATATCACTTAGGATAGAAGCTGTACTGCTTTCATCTTAGAAGACAGAGCATCAGTATACTCTGCTTCAACTCAGATTTGGGCCTTTCAGACCACCAGACGGCCAACCCTACATAAGGTTAATGCTTTGGATTGATTGCAGATGTTGGCAAACAGTGCTGAATGGTAGAATAAATGCAGTGGTGGAATGTAATAAGAGGCCTGATGGAGGAAGTGCAGTGCATATCATATTATGATCCATAGTTTTGTTAAAAAAAAAGCACCACTATTTCTCTTTGTGGTCTGGCCTTTATTAAATATGCAAAAGCCTGCTGTTTTATGCATTGATTTTATTTTTCAATAGTGTGCTGAGGAAGACTCTTCTTTCTCGGTTGACCATAGTAATGAGGATGGCTTTTTTTCCACTAGTCCCTGCTTTTACCTCTTCTCTGCTGATGAACCCTGATAGATATACATTAGCTACCTACTAATTCTTCCACGTTCCACACCTTCCTTTGTGCAGAGCCATGCAGGAGAGTTGTCGGATGTAGTGTCTAATGACTGAAGTAGTTTGAACTTGCAGAAGGCCTTAGTTATTCCCTTGCCTGTACTCTGTCTGCTTTCCTTAGGCTGTCTTCATTTCCCTTACAGATACAGCTTGCATCATCATTGCTGTTCGGTGAGGTTAAAGGAGAGTAACATGATGGTGAAGGAAGTGGACAGATATATACTGCATGAATTCTTACATTCATTATCATGGTGGACATCTTTTTGCTGCAGGATCCTTTGTTTGCTGCTTTATGTGATCTGTTGCAGTTCTTGCCATGGCAGCTACTTGCTGAACACTAGACTGTGTTTATGTGTGTGTTATTTGAGAGAAATGCCATTTTGGATGTAGCTGTTCACTGGTTGATATTTTTCATGCTCTCTTTCTATGTTTTTATGAGACTTGCAATTTTGGCTCTCTGTGTTGGATCTGTCAGGTACACACATGAGAAATTGAGCTTCTCCGGATTTTTTATATCTTCACCACTGAATGCATATTTTTAATATATTTCTCTCAACACAGATGTTGCAGATACTCTAGGCTTTATCTTGTGGAGGCATGCCACTGCTGGAATAATCCCTGATGGTTGTTAGTTCTTGATGTCAACTGTAGTGAGCTATGGGATTGAAGTGTTTAGAGATTTTTCAAGATAGTTTTTTAAAAAAATATTTCAGAGTTGAACCATAATCACTGCACCTCCAGGCAGGCACTTACATGATTTGAGATGACACTGATAGTGCCGAATTGACAACTGTTGCTTTACAGTTATGGTTTCTTTTTTCATAAAGTTGTAAATAAAAATATGGCTTTACAGTATGATTGCTTTTCTGAAATGCAGAGTTGCTAAATCTTTACTGGGATTTAAAGTTAATAAAATAATTCCGGATGATGATAAGTAATACTAATTAATTTCCTCTCTAAGTAATTCCAATTAGTGTGCTGGAGAGCCCCTGTTCAATTACTGCTGCCTTTCTGTGGCTTTGCAAACTTTTGATTTATCATGCAGAATATTATAGGGTGAATCCAAGGATTTTTATTTAGTTTGCCAGCAGAAGACTTCCTCACATTCTGCTTTAGGCCACCAGAGTTTTAAGAAAGCGACGTAATTAGTAAGGTGCACCTTTTAATGTAATTTGACGTATTTATCTTGGCCTAAATACTACATCCCATACTTTAACATTTAAGTTGGTTTTATAATGTGTAGAGCTAGAGTATTCTTGCTGATAAGCTTTCGTTGTCCTGCTTGTGTTTTGGATTGTCTTTTCTTACTGTGCTTGTGATTATCCAAGTCTTTTGCCTGTTGAAATTGAGGGGGATCTTTTGAGGTTCTGAAAATTAACAGCATGCATCTGTAGCTCTGAGTTACCCTGAATGGAACAGATGAACAAGACCTTGGTCTGGGTGTAAGATGGTATACTCAGTTGTCGTTTCACTGCTGGAGAGGCAGGGAGGGAAAGACACATAGTACAGGTTATGGCTTCGTACTTAGAACTTTACTCACACACAGTGTTTTACAAGCCTTTAAATGTTTTTTTTTTATTGTCATGTTAATGAACTATGAAAAATTAAATTCAAATGACTTTTTCCTGTTGCCAGAATCATTAGATCCCAGTAGTTTGACTCTTGCATTTCTCTGTTAACCTCTTTAACTTCCTGAGCAACACCGCCTTCTGTCTCGTTTTTGGTTCTTACCAATAACTTTATAGGGAGAAACATATTTAAAGAAAGTTTTTGTTAGGCTGATACTTTCAAGGATGATTTAAACTTTTTTTTTTTTTTTAATTCAGCTGGTAGTGGGTTTCTTTAACTAGTATTTTTTTATTTATTTATTTTAGGGAAAGTCTGCTTTGTGGTCTCATCTGTTGCATTACCTAGAAAACAGACAGAGAAAAACTACATCAGGCAGCTTCAGTACCTCTGGTAAGATTGGTTCTGCTGGAAGAAGACAATAAAAAACTATGAGTAAGAGATGCCTGCAGCTTTGCACGGTGCAGAGATTGTTTCCTTGGAAATATCTGTCACTGAGCATAACTGAACCAAGTATTCTGTCCGCTACAGAATTAATATGGACCTGGTGTATTGTCTCAATATATTTTCTGAAAAATAAACTGGTTTGGATTGAACCCACTTATTTGGGCCTGGTGTCTGACTACTGCAGTAGTCAGATACCAGAAATATCTGATGTTTCAAAGATAGTCTTTAAAATGGATCTGCTCCAATATACCATTCTCCTTGTGACACAGTCACTACATGACTAGCAAAGCATATTGTGTTATGGATGGGGGTGGAAAACAAGTATAAGCATGTGAAATTGTGCTGTACATCCTGAAGTTTTACGTTCTTTCTTGAAAAACAGCTGAACAGTAGCTTTACTGTTTAAAAGAAATAGACATTTAAAAAAGACACTGAAGAAACCTATTTTAATTTTTGTTATATCAAGTGTTGCAGTAAAAACAATATTGCACATAAGATCCATTGATAATCTCTTTCTAAGGTTATTAATGTAACTTTTAAACGCTACTTGTGTCACATGGGGGCTTACAGTGTAACTTTGGAGAGCAATGGGTTTGGGGAGGCAGTGGGTGCCTTTTTTTTTTTAAAGTTGCTGTAGGCAGAGCTGAGCATTACTAACCTGCACAAGGTCCTGTAAGCAATCAAAAACAAAGGTTTGGAAAGTATAAAGTCTCTTAAATGTCACTTGGTCCATAATGTTTTTGCGTATCAGACTGAAGTTGCAATCAGTTGTATGCTTTCTAACTTGGGAATGAGGGCAGTGACTGTTTAATATCCAGCTTGATTCTAGAGTGGAATTTGAATGATAAGAGTAATAATACTTCTTTTAAAAGCCCAAAATGTGCTATTTTTTTAAAGTAGTGGTGTTACAGGAGTGTGCAAAGTGATAGATGAGTTAAGTATATGATGTGTAGTGTACTAAGTAAAGCATGTTAAATACTGTTTTCTGGTGTCAACAGTGCCAGTTTTACTATGTGGGAAGAAAATAATGCTTGATTAGTATATGTCTTAAGCCATTTGATGTCATACCAATTTCAGCTGAATCTAAGCTCATTAATGTGTTAATGTTCAGTGTGTGGTGATCTGCATAACTGTCTGTGTAGCATATTAGAATTTCATGTCATTTGAAGTGGAAATACGCCACAATATTTTCAGAAAGCAGTGAGTGACCAATAATGCAAGAGTGCAAGTTCATGTTAATTCAGTTTCTTTTTTATATCGATTTAAAAATCTTTAGCTGAATTTCTGCTAACAAGAAATTCTCTTCTCCTGAATCTAGGAATACTTCTTGATTCAGAAAGGAGAAAGTCTGATACCAGTCCAGCCATGTCACCGCTTAGAATCTCTCTCATCCAGGATATGAGGCGAGTTTAACTATTAAAACCAACATAGAAAACTTACAAGATTTGCATACTTGTTTCTGTGCATAATGTGTACCATACAGAAAAGTCTGTGTTTCATACGTCAGGAGGAGGATGTGGGGAAGGAACCTGCTGAACTGTTTTAAAGTATGTAGTGCAACCTTTTCATTGACCTTTACAAAAACATGTTGCATACTGAGGAGATTTTATATTGTCACAGCTACTAGCATATAGAAATACCTTGACACAGTTTTCATCTTTTTGTAAGTATTCTGTATTCTTTAATTTCCACAGAGATGTGGGTGTAGCATATGTATTTTCCCAGTCATTGCCAAGTTTGTTGTGTAGCTCTGAGCTCATTCTTGCTTCTCAGTGGAGAAAGCATTTTAAAGAACTTGTTTGATCTAAAGAGTGGGTTTATCTAACATTGAGTACTGTAGTGTGTATAAAACTCTGCTCAATGCCTTCTTTTCAGTACATCAAAAACCAGTATGCAGAACTTCTAAATTAATGTTCAAATGATTTTTTTTTTCCTTTTTCCCTACCAATATCTGATTTTTTTCAGTGGTAAGGAGTGAACTGAGGATTTTCAAGGGACATGCTTGTCCTTTCAAAATATATAATTTGTCTTGCATGCATGCAAAGACAGTATTTAATTTTCCGAAGCACTCAGCCGTAAATACTGCATTGATAAGGTCCAGAATGATTCTTAAATCATGTGAGGCAATGAGCCTGGTTTAGAATTTTGTAAATAGGGCACTGCATTGCAGATGTTTCCATTTCAGGCTTTTTTTCAGCTAGATATGCAAGGAATTTAGATACTGCTGAATACTAAGGTGATCATGCCTGTTTTTTCTGCTTGTTTGCCTGGTATTTTGCATTCTTGGCAAAATTCCTTCTTCAGCCTAGCTTGGTTCAAAAGAAGTGTTGCACTTTAAAAATAGTGGGCAGTGTCTTTTTTTTTCTTTCCTCTCCCCCAGGCACATCCAGAACATTAGTGAGATCAAAACAGATGTTGGCAAGGCCAGAGCCTGGGTTCGTCTCTCTATGGAAAAGAAGTTGCTCTCTAGGCATCTAAAACAACTGCTTTCAGATCATGAACTCACAAAGTAAGATGGTTTGTCTTGGGCAGAGCTTTTAAAAATTAAGCCTGTTTAGTTGCTTGACATAAAAAATGCAGAAGTGTTTACTCTCCCATCTGCTTAGCAGTGGTGCAAAAGGAATGGAACAAACTAGTGTTCCAAGTATGTCTCTCTACCTGTGTATGAGCTATTTGGAAATTATGTTTCAGTGCTGGGGTTCTTCAGATACAGAATCAGATCTGTCAGCGTAGACTGTCTGTGACTTTGAGGTGAAGTCTTCAAAAATTACTAGGGATTAAGTAAAATGGGGTGGAAGTCCAAATACCACTACTTTGCTGGGTCAAACCTTTTATCTTGGCCCTCTTTCTATAACTGTGGGATATTTTGTTTTCCTTTGATTGTTTGTGTGTTTTTGCAATGCATGACAAAGTACAGCTGAGGTCCTTGGTGCAGTTCTGTCATGATAGGAAGAGTCTAAAGGCACATCCAGATGTGCTTCTGTGATTCTTGTTAGTGTGACTAAAAAGTGACTGTTCCTTAGCTTCTCACTTCTGTCTCCAAATCTGAGACGTTCTTGTAACTCCTTTCAGTGCAGTGTAAGATAACGTAGATAAAATCAACTTCTGGTGTGGTTTAAGAGAGTAGATGAATGGTGTATATGCAGTACCTTGAAGGGGACTAGGAAGGCTGTGATGATCAGTTCTTGCATCTCATTTTTGGGCAAGCAGCTCAAGATGAGAGCCGGTAATCTTCAGAAACCTTCCATCTAAATCTTTTAGAGTATGATTGTCCACATCTCTAGATCAAACTGACAGTGTCTCAGCTTTGTTTGTTCTCTCTTACACAATAAAGGTTTTGCATTTATAGCCTGCTTAAGAACATAAGGTGAATTGCTTTCATAATAGTCAAATATGTGCTATTAAGATCCATTTTTTTGTTTTTATTACTTCTCCTAAACATTTTGTGTGACTTTCAATTCTTTGCGTATGAAGTCATAAAAAAATTATGAAAAGACCCAACCACTGAGACCCAAAACACCCAAAAAGAGTAATTGTGCTATAGGAAGAAAATGGGAGAAGTTGGGGGTGGGGGGGCGGGGGGGCAATGTGAGTGAAAACTGAAGACTTGAACCTAGAGAGAGTTCCAAATACTGCTGGCTTAAACTCTGTCAAAAATACTCTCTGCTAGTGCTTCTTGCAAGTATGCATCTTGAAGGGCAAAAGGAGAAATGCTCAGCATAAGGACTTGTTTACTTGCTGAGGTCCAGAGCACATGTGCATTATATTATGTTTGTAAATGTAAATAATTCTTTTGTAAATAGTTGCACAAATCAGAGTACGGGCTGTACTTAAGACTAATTGTTTTAGAAGTAACAATTTGAGGTTTGTTTAGTGTAACCTGTGCAGAAAAAAATGTATTTCTGGTGAGGATGGATATACTGTTTACTCTGTGGAAATTAAAAGTTCTCTTGTATCGTTGAATCATAGAATGGTTTGAGTTGGAAGGGATCTTACAGATCATGTAGTTCCAACTCCCCTGCCATGGGCAGGGGTGCCTTACACTAGACCAGGTTGCTCAAAGCCCCATCCAACCTGGCCTTGAACACCTCCAGCGATGGGGCATCCACAACTGCTCTGGACAATCTGTTCCAGGGCCTCACCATCCTCATAGTGAAGAATTTCTTCATTGTATCTAGTTTAAACCTACCCTCTTTCAGCTTGAAGCCATTACCCCTTGGCCTATCATTACATACCCTTGTAAATACTCACTCTCCGGGCTTCTTGTACCCTTTCATGTACTGGAAGACTGCTATAAGGTCTCCCTGCAGCCTTCTCTTCTCCAGACTGAACAGCCCCACCTCCCTCAGCCTTTCCTTACAGGGGAGGTATTCCATCCCTCTGATAATTTTTGTGGCCTTCCTCTGGATGTGCTCCAACAGGTCCATGTCTTTCTTGTGCTGGGGGCTCCAGAGTAGGATGCAGTACTCCAGGTGGGGGCTCACCAGAGTGGAGTACAGGGGCGGAATCCCCTCCTGCTGGCCATGCTGCTTTTGATGCAGCCCAGGATATGTTTGGCTTTCTGGGCTGCGAGCGCACATTGCTAGGTCATGCTAAGCTTGTGGTCAGCCAACACCCCCAAGTCTTCCTCAGGGCTGCTTTCAGTCCATTTCCGCCCAGCCAGTATTTGTGCTTGGGATTGCCCTGACCCATGTGCAGAACCTTGCATTTGGCCTTGTTGAGGTTCTGACGGGCACACCTGTCAAGCCTGTCAAGGTCCTTCTGGACAGCACCACTTCCCTCCCACGTGCTGACTGCACCACACAGCTTGGTGTCGTCAGCAAACTTGCTGAGGGTGCACTCAGTCCATGACTATCCATGTCACCGACAAAGATATTAAACAGTGCCAGTCCCAGTACTGACCCCTGAGTAACGCCATTCGTCACAGGTCTCCACTTGGACATCGAGCTGTTGACTGCCACTCTTTGAGTGGGGCCATCCAGCCAATTCCTTATCCCCCAAGTGGTCCATCCATCAAATCCATGTCTCTCCAATTTAGATATGAGGATGTCATGCGGGACAAATGTCAAATGCTTTGCATAAGTCTGTGTGGGCCTTCATAATTGTCATTAGCTTTAATTGAAGACTTCTTTCTGGAGACAGCTTAGCCTGTGCTGTCTGCTCTTCCTTTCCTATCCTTCCACACACACCACCTTCCAAGAAATGTCTTCCCCAACCCTCCCAAACTCCAACTGCTAATTATTTGGGATTTGCCTTGTATTGAAATATGTTGGACTTTCTTATGAAGCTGTGGGCTTCCAACAGTCTTAAGGTTAGGCCTCTCCAGTGAAGTCAACAGTCAAGATCAGGTTAAATTTAGCAGTGCTTGTCCCATGCAGAAGTAGTGCAGTGAGAGGTGTTTGGGTGGGTGTTTACTACAGGCTACCTGACCAGGAAGAGGAAGTCTATGAGGCATTCTCCAGACAGCTGAAATTAGCCTCATGATCACAAGCTCTAGTTCTTATGGGGGACTTCAGCTACCCTGGTATCTGCTGGAAAGACCACACGGCAAGACACACACAGTCCAGGAGGTTCCTGCAGAGCACTGATGATAAATTCTTGACACAGGTGGTGGAGGAGCCAATGAGGAGAGGTGTGCTGCTGGACCTTGTGGTGACAAATAGGGAAGGACTGGTTGAGGATGTGGAGATTGGGGGAAGCCTTGACTGCAGTAACCCTGAGAAGGCGGAGTTCAGGATCCTGCGAAGAAGTGGGATCACAGCCTTGGACTTCAGGAAAGCTAAATTTGGCCTCTTCGAGGACCTACTTGGAGGAATCCCATGGGTTAGGGCTCTAGAAGGTAGGGGGGTCCAAGAGAGCAGCTCGCTGTTTAAGCATCACTTCCTCCATGCTCAGGACTGGTGCATCGCCATGAATAAGAAATCAAGCAAAGGAGGCAGGAGACCTGCATGGATGAGCAAGAAGCTTCTAGCAAAACTCAAATGGAAGAGAAAGGTACACGGAATGTGGAAAGAGGGGCAGGCCACCTGGGAGGAATACAGAAACATTGTCAGAGCATGCAGGGAAGCAACAAGGAAAGCTAAGGCCCACCTGGAATTAAATCTGGCAAGGGATGTCAGAGACAGGAAGAAGGGCTTCTTCAAGTGCATCAGCAGCAAATGGGTGACTAGGGAAAATGTGGGGCCATTGCTGAATGAGGTGGATGCCCTGGTGACTGAGGATACAGGGAAGGCAGAGCTACTGAATGCCTTCTTTGCTTCAGTCTTTACTGCTAAGGCTGGCCCTTGGGCATCCCAGACCCTGGAGGTAAGAGAGAACGCTTGGAGAAAGGAAGACCCGGCCTTTGTTGAGGAGGATCAAGTTAGAGATGGTTTAAGCAAAGTGGACACCCACAAATCCATGGGTCCTGTTGGGTTGCACCCACGAGTGCTGAGGGAGCTGGCAGATGGCATTGCTGAGCCACTCTCCATCATCTTTGAGAGGTCCTGGAGAGGTGCCCGAGCTTCTGTCCAGTTCTGGGCTCCCCACTTCAAGAAAGATGAAGAACTACTGGAGAGAGTCCAGTGGAGAGCTACGAGGATGATGAGGGGACTGGAGCATCTCTCCTACAAGGAAAGGCTGAGAAGAGAGCTGGGCTTGTTCAGCCTGAAGAAGAGAAGGCTGAGAGGGGACCATATAAATGCTTATAAATGTCTTTAAGGGTTGATGTCAAGAGGATGGGGCGAGACTCTTTTCAGTCGTGCCCAGCGACAGGACAAGGGGCAACGGGCACAAACTGAAGCACAGGAAATTCCGTCTGAACATGAGGAAGAGCTTCTGGACTTTGAGGGTGAGGGAGCACTGGAGCAGGTTGCGCAGAGAGGTCATGGATTCTCCTTTTCTGGAGATATTCAAGACCCGCCTGGACAAGGTCCTCTACAGCCTGCTGTAGGAGACCCTGCTTTGGCAGGGGGGCTGGACTAGATGATCCCTTCCAACCCCTACCATTCTGTGTAATTCTGTGACTTTCCACACAGCACCACACTCCACACCACAGCCACACAACCCATCCCCCCCCCTCAAAGAAGAAGAAAACCCGACTTTTAACACTGGCCAATGCACTGTTCGTCTATCACAGACTCTGATTCTCTAGAACACAGTGAGACAGCAGTAAAAATATTTTTAAAATGACAGTGACAAGCAAAGGAGCAACTTGCATAGGAATGACATCCATTCTGTGTAATTCCGAGTGCTTTGTGCTGCTTATTTAGATATCTTACTTAAAGAAAGATGTTTTAGGCAGCATGGGTTTAAAGTGTGCTACATTTGTTTTTAGAGAAAGGAGTGCCAAGTTCAGTGAGGTACCAAAAGTAATTGTGCACCTTCTGCTGTTTTACATTTAACGTGATTGTGTGTTGTTCTTTTTTGAAGCAGCTGTTAGCTATTTTAATTAACTTGGTCTCTTCACTTGGCATTTGCTAAGAAATACAAGAAAACTGAAACGTGTTGGTTTCTTTCTAGTCTGCAAAGGGACTAGAGTTAGGGAAACAGAAGGAAATCACATAGCTTTACTCTCTGGAGACCTTTATGTGCACAAGTGAACTGAGAAATCTTACACTTTGAAAAGGCAGGACAGTGCATAACCTTGTGGACAGGCTGTCTAAACATGTTGTTCAGATTGTTCAAATGAAACATGGGCGTGGTCACCCATGAGACAGTTGCGGGTTTGCTAGTCTTGTGGCTGCAGGCAGGTTATGTTGATTTAAGACTCAGTATTGTTATTTCCACTGAACATTTCCTGTCAATCTCTAGTGTTATGTAAGTGAGAATATGTGCGTGTGTTAATCATCATTGATTTGTTTTGCAGATTTCTGGCTTGTGAGTCACTTGCTGAATTTTGTAATTGATATCTGAAATTGAGGGAAGTTGTCAGGATGCCGTTCTGGCAAGAATAACCTATCCGTGGCTGTGTCAGCTTTTCCAACACCCAGTTCATGCATTCATGATGTTTTGAATATTCCTCTAGCATCCGTTGCATCTTGGCATCCTCTTCTTTTGTGATTATTCACCAACACTGGTGTTATTTATTGGTTGCATAATTAACAAAAATAGTGGTGATTGCTGCATACAAGTGAGCAAGAGTATTTTCCAGTCAAAATTTGCACTTGAAAAGGTCGAGGTTGTAAATTCTTTTCAAGGTTTCTCAGTTGCAAGTCTTGCAATGTTAAATTCTCTAATGCGTTTGAGTAATTTCAATAAGTATATAAGGCTGGACTAGATGATCCCCAGAGGTCCCTTCCAATTGTTTCTGTTTACAGTGCATTCTTGTGCATAGACATTGTGCATAGACATTGTCTCCACTAGTGAGAGAATGCTACTGAGCTACATGTTTTGATATTTCCACTTAAAAGAAGCTGCAGTTCTGTGTGGTGTCGCAGTCCTAGCAAAGAGTTTGCAGCCCAGTATAAGGGAACAGTAGGACTTTAGGCAAGCTTTGCATGCTTATGATTTTAGTTATGTCAGGAGCTGTGGTGCTGTAAACACTGAAACTATTCCCAAGCAGGTTGTGCTGGTTGTTGTAGGCCCTGGGTTATTGCCTGTAACCTAATATAAGGAGATAGCCCCAGTGTTTGCCCTAGCGTCCTTTGAAAACAGTCTTCTAACTGTCTTGCGTCAGGTGCTGGAGGAGTCTCCCACGGCACCATCTGCTTGGAAGTAACTTACGAGGACTCTCTTGACTTCAGTTCTGTCATTTTACAGGGCCAAAAGAAGTCAGAAAATATTTGCCAGGAAAGTACAAAATTCCTTTTTCCGTCTTTTGGGGTGTTTTGGGGTGGGAGAAAACCCTTAGACCACCCCAAACCGTGCTTTCGAGGGTGGAAAATAGTGTAGAGTATTGGATTGATGCACTTCAGAGACTTCAGACTTGCAGAGTATTGAAATATCTTGGCACATTAAATACTGTTGGCTCTACCAGTATCATTTGTCATTTGTAATCGCTTGCACATTCTTCATAGTTTACTTAATAAATCTGCACAATAGAAAACATGTCAATGAAAGCATCTTGTTACTATGACAGATTATTTGTTTTGCTTTGTCAGAAAACTCTACAAGCGTTATGCATTCCTCCGCTGTGACGATGAGAAAGAGCAATTCTTGTATCATCTTCTGTCATTCAATGCTGTTGATTACTTTTGCTTTACCAATGTTTTCACAACAATCTGTAAGTATTTGCTTTCCCTGGCACTCTGATTTCCAGATTAGGTTGAGTCCTTATCCAAAATTTTAAGCAGCTGAGCAACATACCTTAATGTAATTGTTCTACTTTCTTCCTGGTATCCATCTGTGTATGCTGTATCACTGTTTCTGTGATCCTCTCTGGTGGGCAGTAGTGTGTGTGTCTCACTAAAGGCTTTTGTTTCCAACTTGGTAAAATACACAGTTTTAATCCTTTCAGTTGGGGGAGAGTTCTCAATAGAAAATTTCGTGGTTGGATTGTTTGCATCATACTAAACAAGAACAGTATGGATTGTTCGTTATCAAGGTAAGACTATTAACACATGCTGGGAATTAAAAAGAAAAAAACTTTCCCCTTGTCATGCTCAGCCTACTTTGCCACATGCCTGTCTCTGAGTTTAGGATAACAATGAAATGCCCATTGAGGGCCACATGAGAGCACTGCAACGCTTTGAAGTACCTTTTGTTTTCTTAAAAAAGGTGCTCTAGAGAAACTTTTAATCTGTTGCTGCTGATACTTACATGTGTTACAGAGTTCTCATGCATTTGTGTGTCTGATGCCACAGGACCTCGTTAGTAAGGCAGAAATAAGGAAGGACTTTTAACAAGGCTTAGAAAATTGGGAGTCAGTGTTTATGAAAGGATTCAGGCCTCATGGTAGGAGCTACCTTTTGTGTGTTATGATCCATATTTGTGTGTATGAAAAACAAAGCAGGCAGACCTCTAAGCAAAATAGTTTTTGGTCGTCTTCTGGGCAAGTTCTGGACAATGCTGAAATCTGGTTTCCTGGATGCAGTTAAGTTGTCACTTACTTTAAGGCTATCAGCACAGGAAATAGAGAGAAATATTTTAATTCATTCTTAAATGCTACGGCCATCAAGCTTTTAAGAAAATCCAGCCACCAAATGCTTTCTTGAGGGCACTGACAGCTGAGGAGACATTGAAGGAGAAATGTATTAAATGCCTCAGCTGAAAAGCCCTAACTGTAATCTGTTTGTGCACTATAAAAGAAGGGCAGATTGCCAAGAAACACGATGACCATTCAGATAGTTGGATTTTGTTATAAAAGTTTGGTTAATGGGGGCTCTGCATGAGATAGTAGGCGATTAAAGAGCACATGAATTTTCTCAGGAGCACATGCCTCCTGAGTCAGACAAGGGGCTGTAATTTATGTGATACTATGCTGAATTAGTCACTGGTAAACCAGGGGACCAGAAAGCATTTGAGCATGTGTGTGGTGTCAGTTAGATGGGAAAAAATTTGTCTGTTCTTTTTAAAATCAAGAAGTCTCACAGTTAGCATGTCTAAGAGCAACATGGTGAAGAGAAATTTGCAGAATTATAGTGTTGTTTCACTGAATTTCTTCAGCCACGGTAGTGAATGCTGCTGCAAGCAAGCCCTGCAAAAAAAGGCAGGGAATTGGTGTTAGTTGTGTAGTGTGCGTGTGTGCACACACAAAAGCAGGCAGTTAGGAGTTGAGCATTGACTTGGATGCTGAGCTACAGTGTAGTCCTGGATACATGAAGATTTTGTCTTTACTTACTTGTCTCTAAGCTGGGGAGAAATGACCATCTTCATGACATGTTTTGAGGATGGTAAATGGAAAATTATTCTACCCATATGAAGGCATTATTCTATTCATATTTATTTTTTCGTTTCATAGTGTTTTGCTGTCAGCTCTGCTGCTTAATAACTGCTATGTGTACACTTCCTGATTGTTAATCAGTGCTAAGTGTGCAAGTGTTAACATGATTAAATAGCAGCTCTGATGTTTTAACATTTCATGATACTGCATTACTATTTTACGACTTATCTTTTCCCCATCTCTTCATTAAAGAGGTTATATAATTATCCTTCTTCATTTTTTAAGTGTTGTTTCTTCTTGTGTTCGCAGTGATACCATACCATATATTAATTGTTCCTAGCAAGAAACTTGGTGGCTCAATGTTCACAGCCAATCCTTGGATCTGTATCTCGGGAGAACTGGGTGAAACAGGAGTCCTGCAGATTCCCAGGAATATATTAGAAATGACTTTTGAGGTTTGTACTGCTTTGATACAAAAAATGTTTTGGATGTTCTGTTTGTTCAGTTTTAAATTATTCCCTTTCTCTACCATCTTGCCATACATTTCGTATCTTTAATCTATGTAGTTAAGTTGCAAATACTTCCTGTTCCTGTACATAGCAAATTTAATCTATATTTAGTTACATGGAGAGCAAAATGACTGACAAATCCTTAGTGCAAGGATGGACAAGACTGTCTTTCTATTACAACTTTGTGCTATAATGGTGGGAGGTGCCATATTCTGCTCTGTTTTTTGTGTGTGTGCGTGCAATGGGTAAAAGATAGTTCATCTATTTCAACTGATGTTCTCTGCTGAACAAAACAGTATTTAACAAAACGACGCAAACAAAACAACCTACTTCTAGAATCTGGCCCAGAATCAATCATGCAGTCAGAAAAAGAGAACCACATTTCTGATTCCCTGTCTGAGCATGTGCTCTAATAGTTCACTCCTCCAACATGCTGCTGTCTTTCAGTTTGCTCTGACAAAAGTCTTTATTTAATTTGCAGTGCCAGAACCTGGGAAAACTGACCACAGTGCAAATAGGACATGATAATTCAGGGCTGTATGCCAAGTGGCTGGTGGAATATGTTATGGTCAGAAACGAAATAACAGGGCATACTTACAAGTAAGTATCATCCTGACATTTCATGTTGGGTAAGTAGAATTTCTGCAGGGAGCTGACACAGTAGGGCTTGTTTGGTTAGAAAGGTCTTAGCTCCTGGGGACACTGTGGCTACATTTGCTGCTACCTGAAGGCACAGAAAGGTCGTTTGGCTTCTGGCATTAAACAAGTCGTGATTCTTACAAAATCAAACAGTTTTCAGTTTGTAGATGCTCATGTCTAGCCTGAAAACATTGGTGGAGAAGATGAGTTGACTGTTGAGCATCTTAAAAATAATTTGCCTTGAGCCTAAGGAAGAAATAGCAAGTTATAGCTTGCTGCTTACCAGATACAGGTGGCCTTCTATGTGATGATTGAGTGCTCTGGGTGTTACAGAGAGACCGCTGGACACAAGCTGGAACACAAGGGCTCCTGAGTGTTAGAAACCTGTGTTTGTATAATGAAAGTAAAGGAACGAGATTTATAGTAAGAATTAAATTTATTTGTGTTAGGTACAGCACAGTTTGCCCTGTCGTTTTTGTAGAGAGACTGTTGGGCTTATGTTGATGACAGACTAGCGGGTAAGTCCACACAGTTCTTCATGCCAGCTTGTTTGTAATTAAATGAAGAGACAAGATTATATTTTTGCATGCTGTTCAGTTTTCTGATTAAGCTGATTAAACTGACATCATCGGTTCATAGAAAGTGATAATGAGCAAGTGAGCACGTGTGCTTTCTAGTGTCTGATTTAATATCCCAAATTCAATAGATGTATTGGTGTTTTGGCATTTAAGTGTGTATGGGGTGTTTTTTTGTGGCTGACTTGCTATGTAACATATTCAATGAAAGCATAGGTGTATTTCACCACCCATTTGTCTGGTGGGTCTTTCCCTTCTACCTCTTTTTGCTCTGCAGCCCTCAAATCATGTGCTACATATAGGACACAAGACAAAATCTGCCACTGTTTGCTTTGTGGATCATTCAATATGACATGTAGCACACACCTGGAACTGAAAAGCTGTTTTACTTTTGCTTCCTCTGCTGGCAAAAGCCAAACCCAAGACTTCGTTCTTTGTTGCTAGGGTGAAGTGTTTCTAATAACTTATACTAGTGGAATTTGAGTTCTGTGCAACTGCAGTTCAAAGTCTTTGGTATGGAATTGAATCTGGTTTGAAGGACTTGATCCAAATATTTATGTTCATAGGTTTCCCTGTGGAAGGTGGCTTGGAAAAGGAATGGATGATGGCAGCTTGGAGAGGATCCTAGTGGGAGAGTTGCTGACTTCCCATACTGAGGTTGATGAGCGACAGTGCCGAACCCCTCCTTTGCAGCAGTCACCAAGCATGATCAGAAGATTTGTCACTATATCGCCAAACAATAAGCCAAGTGAGTGGTGGGAGATGCCTTGTATTGCTCTGCATCATTGCCTGAGGAGAACTTCTTGTAAACAAGACTGTAGGTTTTCTTGTATTTTAGAACTGTAGTTTGTAGAGGACCTGTGAAACACAACCCAACCCTCTGCTCAAAATCCAGCTAGCTTCTGAGTTACAATCCTGAGCAAACCTGTTCTGTCTACTCAAGTTTTGAAAGTCTCCAAGGATGGAAGAAAGATATCTCTGGACTCCTGGTCCAGTGCTGCGCTGCCCTAGTGGTGTTTTCTGTATTCTTGTCCTTAATCTGTGGAATGAATGCTATGGAGGAAGGTAGAAATTTGCTGTCCTGTCTCTGTCTATCTGACCTTCCTGGATGAAAAAGCTTGCTAGTAGTTTCTATTCATGGACTTTAGTTTTCTGTTGAGATCAGTGTTCTTGGGTGTCTTATTCCTGGTAAATCAACTGGTTACTTTGCTCCCAAACATACTGGTGTTTACAGTGAAACTATCATAGAAAGTATTTCCGGGATGCCCAGATGTGGTAGTCCTAATCAAAGCACAACTCCTTTTCTTAGGTTTGGGCCCTGGTCTGAAAATGCATGTAGTGTGTAAAAAGCCTTTCCACCTGTTGTTGTGTTGAAAAACCACAGTGTTAACTTCGATGTGAAACCAAACCATCTCCATGTCTACCTTCTCCGCAGTAAATAAAAGTAGAATTGGATTTCTATTACCAGAGTCCAGCTTCTTTTCACTAACAGTGTAGGTTATACTGCTGCTTGCTTCTCCTCTTTTTTTGTGGTGCGCCTTATCCCTCCTGTACAGGTACAATTTCTAAAGCTGTTACAGAATGACTGGATGTATTTTTCTATTTTGCAGAGTTAAATACTGGTCAGATGCAAGAAGCTATTGGTGAAGCTGTGAATGGTATTGTCAAGCATTTCCACAAGCCAGAAAAGGAGGTGAGGAGTTGTGATGCCTGTGTAGTGGCACTCCTGTCTTAAAACTTTTATTAGTAAGCATTGTAGAATATATAACAGAAATAACTAAGCTGAATGAACACCCATCTGTTTGAAAATTCCTGAAGTGGAGCAACAATGAGATACTGAGACTGCATGTTGGAATAGTATATCCTCAAGTATCTCTGTTTTGCTGCTAACTGGAGCGTTCGTTTAATTTAAATATTAACATTCTGTTATCAGAAATTGTGTTATTAGTCAAATTCGGCCAATGATTCTACCTGTACCACTGTCAAGAGTGCTGCCTCCTGTTCAGTTTGTCCTGGGTTAACTGACACTTTACATCTACACTGAGTACTGGGTATGTTTTTTTGTAAGCCTGTTTTGCATTATCTTTGTTACTTAAAACATGAAAAGCCCTAAGCCACTTCAAAAAACAAAAAGAAATGAAAGACCCATACCCAAACACTCACTTCCCTGCAAGAGGAGAAGTGCTTTCAAAGCCTGTGGTACAATTCTATGGTATACACTTTTCGTGGTTTAACCTGGCAACTGGCAACTAGGACCATGCAGCTGCTCACGTGCTCCTCCCCCCCCCACAGTGGGATGAGGAGGAGAATAGACAAAAATTAAACTCGCGGGTTGAGATGAAGTCAGTTTAATAGGACAACGAAGAAAGGCATACTACTACTACTAATAAAGATTATGCAAAACATGCTATATACAGTATAATTTTTCTCACCGCCTGACAACCGGTTACATAGGCAGTCCCCGAGCAGTGATCACAGAACCCATGGATTTCCATGAATTTTGGAGAACTCACAGAAAAGAGGGTTCCTCCAAGCTCCTGCACACCTGCTGATTAGCTGAATATGAGAATCTGAAAAAAGCCCTTGATTTCTTAGCCACAACAGAAAACATCAGTGTATTATGAACATTCTTCTCATACTAAATCCAAAACAAGCAGCTATTGGGAGGAAAATTAACTCTACTGCAGGTGAAACCAGGGCAACAAGTAATCATCTTAACTGGTGTAGCAGTTATTTACTGAAGAAGCATGCCTCTGTCAAAGCATCAAAATCCAGCCGTTGTGAGCAAGAGTGGTGTATAGCAGTGCTGGCTCCTGCGTTGATATCTCTTGAAAGTCATTACTTTTTTACAAATAGGTCTTCCGGTTCTGCACCTATCTTCTCTAAGTTCAGTATAGCATGGCAAATTCATATACAGTAAAATTCTGGTTGATGAGGTTGGAACTAGATGATCTTTAAGGTCCCTTCCAACCCTTACCATTCTATGATTCTATGATCACGTTTACACAATAAGCTCAAATGGTTATGCACTAGTTTTGCAAAACAGAATTTACTGTCATGTTCTAAAGAAGAATTCTGGTTCTTTCTGATGTTTAAAAATTGCATTAAATGTTGTTTTGTTCATAAGCGAACAGTCTGAGGCACCTGCTACAGTGGACTTGTGATCTTCACCAGTTGGTAAAAGAGGGAAATATTTTTCAAATTTTCTGTACAGACATTATTATAGGTAAAATGTGCTTATGATGTTTATCTTGGCCTTTTTGTGGCTTCATTTGATGATGACGAGGCCTGGAGACTGCTTTCTTCAGCCTCGTTCTTAGAGAGGCTAACAAAGTTTTGAATGCTCAAGGCTTGTGAGAACTGAACCATCCTGTCTGGGGTCACCGTTTGACCGTAGACTGTAACTTTGGGCATCTGTTTATTTAAAAACTGGTTTCAGTAATGGATGTACGAGACTCTTTTGTGTCCCAGGCTTTCAAACTGAGATAATAAGTGTTGTGTACTTTCTATGTGTGCTTGGCAGAGAGGCAGTCTGACACTGTTGCTGTGTGGAGAAAGTGGACTAGTTTCAGCTCTTGAGCAAGTGTTTCAGCATGGATTTAAATCACCGAGACTCTTCAAAAACGTCTTTATTTGGGACTTTTTAGGTAAGCGGGAGTAAGACATACCAGAGCCTGTTTGTGTCTTTGGAGTATATCCATCTATGTGCCTTATTGTTGCCACTGTGTCTCAGCTGGTGTGAACAGCATTCTTCCTGGAGGCATCTTGGTAGGCTTATATCATCGTTTTACTGTAGCATCTCAAGATTCAGTAGATACTAGAACCTCATTAGCACTATTCAGAGGGAAGTGGAATCCCAGTTTTACACATGGGGAACACAGGACTGAATCAAACAGAAAAAAAAAATGCCTAGACATAATTGTTCAGGAATTAATGGATGAGCTTTGAATCGAGGCCTTTCAACTTTAAAGGTCCTTTCCATGATGCAGACACTCATGCTGATTTACTAACAGTCCGATAAGGGCATCAGATAGCCTAATGGATTTGTAAGTATGCTTATGGGGAAAGCATTATACTGAGGTGATATTAAATTTAATCATCTAAATTTGAAGGTCATAGTGCCTAAATATTTTCTTCCAAGCACAGGAGAGTGATATTTTTGGTATTTTAGGACTGCTGTATGCACTGATGAAACTTCATTATCTCCCACAATTCTTTTAAGAAAAAGCACAAACGTACTATGAGACACTTGAGCAGAATGAAGTGGTCCCGGAAGAGAACTGGCAGACAAGGGCCAGGAATTTCTGTCGCTTTATCACTGCTATCAACAACACCCCTAGAAACATTGGGAAGGATGGCAAGTTTCAGATGCTGGTGTGTCTTGGAGCTAGGTATAAAGAAACTTCATTATTATTGTTGTTGTTATCGATATTTTCATAAAATGAAAAGGATGTTGCATATTTCTAAGATAAAGCCACACAACTGCTGGGTTGTGCAGTTTGACTATTACTTACACAGCTCTTTGATGTAACTAAAGAATGATCAAGTGAACCATGCTCTGACTGAGTTCTTAGATATGTGAAGTGTGGGAAATCTGAGATAGGAAACTGAGTATCCCAAAGAGCTGAGCAGCTGAATCAAGAAAGAAAGGTGGTAGGCTGGTGTGAACATCCTCCCTCTCATGTACAGCTGGCAAAGTTAGAAGATAGAAACAGAAAACCAGCTATCAGTGAGGCCTCTCCAGTTAACGGCTGGGTGAATTCCCCACTCTCTACCTACTCATTCTAGGAGGGAAGCTGAGACCAGGTAGAAACCTTTTGACATAAAGGCAATGTTAGTAGAGCTGGCTAGAGACTTTAGGCCTCTTGGGACTTCCAGGCCTCCTGGGAACCGCAGCTTTTGTTGTGAGGGGTGGAAGGCCAGAAGTGCATCTCTCATGGATGCTCCCTTCTTAAACAAGTTCCACAGACAGGTACTCTCCCTCCCCCGCCTTGTAAAAATATGTGGAGAAGATGGCAGGTCTCTTTTAGAAGGCAAAGACTAAAAATCACGTCAGTGAAAATGCAAAATTAACTTGGCTTTATTTTTATTTCCAAATTGCAAATTGCCACTTTGTCAGAGACCACCTTTTGCATCACTGGATCGCCCTGCTTGCAGACTGCCCCGTCACAGCACACATGTATGAAGACACAGCACTGATTAAGGATCATACTCTTGTGAATTCCTTGATTCGAGTGCTGCAGACCTTGCAGGAGTTCAACATTACGCTGGAGGCATCTCTTGTCAAAGGAATCGATATTTGACCTCTTGTCCCACAGGAAAAACTATCTTCTGAAAAATGAAAAGCAACAAGGAGTGAATGTCATTAGTATGCAAAATTTCTGTCTGCCAGTACATTGTATCATGAACTTGTTCATGGCCATAAAATGCAACTTTGACTTTGCTTGAAGGAAACTCCAAAAATAGTACAGGCAAATGGATAGAAGCTGTAAACTCAATGTAAAAAAGAGGACTTTGGTATAAATCTATTTTAGAGTTTATTTGCTGATTTGCTTTTTACACACTTTCATGTGAAAGAGAGAGATGAGTATTGTGCAGCTTATTTTAAAGCTGCAGTATTTCTTTGCCATAGAAAATGTGCAGTGAGCCTTTCAGCATTCTGTGAACTTGCCTTCAGATATGCTGTATGTCATAGACCCCAATGTATACACTCCATTTCTGCTGAGAAGGTCATTCTATAGTTTTTAAACTAATATTTTATATATTAACATTATTACCAATGTTTGAATTTTTTTTTTAATGTATCAAGTCATGTTCTGCTGCAAGGGAACTACAAATCTGATGTGTGCTTTTTTTAATAGCTCTAAAGCACTCATTTGTCAACAAATAATTTTTTCCTTTATTTTTGTTGTCAGTATTATTTTTAATGAAATCCAGGAGAATGAACATGAAATGTGCAGAGATCAAAGTAGTATTTTTCATATTGATATGTAATTGCACAGAAGAAATTTAAGTGTGTTTTTAACTGATTTTTTAATTTATTTAACCTATCGTTGTGGTTTGTAAGTTCGTCTTAAAAAAAAACTTCTATGCTACAAATGGCTACATTATGTTGCAATTCAGAATTTACAGTGCAACCCAGTTAAATGAAAAACCTGGAATAATTGTGCATAACACAAAAATGATTCCACTTGAAACCAGCCTTTTGAAGTTTAGTATATGGTTGCTGCTGGTAATTCTCTTAACTGCTAATAAAGAGGGACCTGAGTTCCCCAAATGCAAGATGACTAAATAAAGATGTTTATGCCCCCATGAAATATATATCTACTAATAACAAATATAAGGATTTCTTAATTTTTCTGATAGGACAGTGAGTAGTAAGTTTTTTTCGTTTCCTTTTGAATGAATATGTCTTCGGTCCTTGGGTTGTCACTGTTTGCTTCATTTGGGATACTTTTGTTTAAAGCTTTAGTCCACTTATGCAATAAGACACAAGAATTTTGAAATCTTAATTTATTGGACATCTGGAACTTGGCAAATGCCTAAACGCATATCTCTGTTCATTTGAATCCTCTGATAAAAATCTCTTTGAAATTAATATGTGACTTAAGAACAGGCTGATTTATCAGCATCGCAAATTACAGAAATTCAGAAATATGTATTTAAGAGGTCTCCATTGTATAAACTTATCTCAGTATTGTCTCTCTTTTGGGGAGCAGAGTCCAAATTTTTTGTTTCATACAGTGTTGTAGCACTTTACCTACAGCTTAGTCACATATTGCGATAGCTTTATTTCCATTATTTGTAAGTATAGCACATGTATTAAATTTTTGACTATTTTTACTTTTGTCCTATTTATTTCATTATTAAACTGAGAAGTTCTTTTGTCATTACTTTTCAGAGCAAGATTCGTTTTTGATTTCACAGAAGTGTTAGGAAGATGCAAGGAAAGTGTCCAAGCCACTCCTCATGCTCGGTGGGTGTGAATTCTTTCACACTCTGGAGCTTGCAGGAGCATTTCACAGAAGTATTTTGTATGTGCAGGTTTGTTTTCTTGGGGGGGGTGGTCCAGTTTTGGAAGGACAAAAATAAAACAGATATATTTTTTTCTAAGAATTTAATATTTTCACCTGAATATGTTGGGATAACCTTTATACACTTGCCCCAAGTTGCTTGATCATGTATTAATAACAGAAAAAAAAAAAAGAGTTTATAGTGGTTTCAACTATGTTTCAGATGACTTTACTAGACAGGGAATATATCTATGTAAGAAAGGAAGGCTGGATTAATTATTTTGACCTTAGAGTAGTTGATCCTTTCAAAACTGTATCTCTCATAAGTATGGATTAATTTTGTCTTGCAGGAGGAAATTAACCCTGAATTAAGGTTCTTTTTTTTTTTCTTGATTTTTTTGTTTTCTTTACACCAGTTCACCTTCTAGAGTTAGGGCTAGGGTTACATAGGTCTGTGGTAATAATTTCACAGATAACCTGGGGTTTCTGTTATCAAGCCTTATAGTAACCGCTCATTATCCCTTTTCATGTTTCTGTTTAGAAATATCTGCCTCTCACCAGAGCACAGCAAGGAAGAAGAGCATATTGGGACTGTGAAAGGGCAAGAGAAGTGCGGATCCCCAGTCTTTATTAGCCTTTGAAAGGGATGCGTAGGGAAAATGAGGGTCAACAACAGCTTTCAATGCTAGCACATTCTGTATGGGACCTATCTCTGCACATTTTCAGTCTCGGAGCTGAGCTCCGGCAGGTGTCCAGGAGAAACCCAGATCATGTCTTAGCACTTTGAGGTGGCAAAGCAAGTGCAGAGCCCCAATGTTTGTGGGCCTGTGAAAGTGGTGCAGAGGGAAGATGAGGACAAACAATAGCTTTGGACGCTAGCACCTTCTGTGTGGGAGCTATCACTGGATGTTTGCATCTTTGGAGCTGGGCTCCAGCCGGCATCCGGAGATACCCAGATGGTATGTTGGAACTTTGAGGTTGCAATCAAATTGCAGAGCCACAGTCTTTGTGGGACTGTGAACGGGGTGCCAAGGGAAGAGGAGGGCCAACAAGACCTTTTAAAGGTAGCACCTTCTCTGTGGGAGCTATCTGTGGACGAGTGTTTGGAGGTGGGCTCCGGATGGCGTCCAGCAGAGACCTAGAGTGTGGTTGGAACTTGAGGTAGCAAGGCAAGTGTGGAGCCCCCATTTTTGTGAGCCTGTGAGTGGGGTGCTGAGGGAATATGAGGGACAGCGAGAGCTGTCAAAGCTAGTGACTTCTGTGTGTGAGCTATCTCTGGACATTTGCATCTTTGGAGCTGACCTGCATCCAGCATCCGGCACATACCCAGATAGTAGGTTTGAACTTTGAGGTGGCAAGGCCAGAGCCTCAGTCTTTGTAGGCCAGTAAAGGTGGTGGCGAGGGAAGATGAGGACCACCAACAGCTTTGCATGGTACCACCTTCTATGTGGGAGCTATCCCTCGATATTTGCATCTTTGGAGCTGGGTCCTGCTGGCATCGGGGAAAGACTCGGATGCTATATTTCAAGTTTGAGGTGGCAAGGCAAGCACATATCCCCAGTCTGTGTTTGCCTGTGCGAGAATTACGATGGGCAGATGAGGCTGAGCATCAGCTATCCAGGCTAGCCCCTTCTGGGTGGGAGCTATCCTGAGATTTTCGCACTTTCAGGGCAGAGCTGCGAGAGGGATCCGTGAGAGAATCACAGGGTACGTTTGCAGTTTGAAGTGGCAAGGCAAGCCTGCAGCCCCAGTCTCTGTGTTTCACTGTGCGAGCAGTGCCATGGGCGAGTGACGCTGAGCAACAGCTATGCAAGCTAGCCCCTTCTGTGTGGAAGCTGTTCAGAGACGTTCGCACTTTCGGGGCAGAGCTGTGGGAGGGGTCCAGGAGAGAAACACAGGGTACCTTTTGTTATAATTTGGCTGTGGCCGGCAATAAAAGGGCCACGCGGCCACTACGATACAACAACAATAGTTAAGGAGAATACACAAAATGAAATAGCAGAATGCAGAGAGCAACTCTCATCGCCCGCTGCTGCTGCACTCTCCCAAGCCGCAACTGCCTTCCCGCTGCCCAGCTCCCCCCCAGCCAGAACCTTGC